TTGCGGATAGTGATGGTTGTTTATATCCGTAGAATTTACAATAAGATGAATATAACGGATATTCAAGGCCAAACTTTGGTCCTTCCTCTTTAATCATTTCAGCCAGTGAGTTTGCAACTTGGACATCCATATTCGGAAAATTTTGTTTTGCCATTCTATGTGTAATTCTAAATTAAGCCAATTTACGATCAACATGCGATAATAAACTAGATGAAATAAGTATACTATTTACAGATTATTTAAATTCATACCCAATATTTCGCAATAGGCGGTCCAAGTTCGCTGCCTGATTTTCTTTGAGACGCATTTTATTAAAAGTATATTCGGAATTGAGCATACTGTCATATAACGTCCAGTGACCAATTAAAACGCATTGGTACGTGATCATTAATAAATGTTAAGGGATTTTTTGTTATTTCTGAAATGATACTTAATCACAATGGACAAAGTATATAAAGGATATTCATTAATGCGAATAATTCTCTTGTCATCAGAATGCGCAGGTACGGCTTTGTGTCTGTGAATACGTTGTACGCCATCAGCATTATTCAGGTCCATAACCTCTGCATCCAAAAATCCGATCATTTTGTTGTATTCTACAAGATTTATTTTTTTGGACACGAAAAGACTCGTGTGACCTATTATCGCGAGCCTTTTAAAATATTTAATGAGATATGTGACCGGATAATTTTACATAGCTAAATATTGTAAAATCACAATACCACAGCATATCATTATCCTTCGATAATATCATCGAAGCAAGGGTGTATGTCTGCAACGCAATTGATGGGCCGTGGTTACACCGCCTAGCTGGTCCGGTTGCCAGAGGAAGTGCCTGAAGAATAGGCAAGTTCAGTAGATAATTAGCGTGAATAATACACAAAACAAAATCAGCATTTTAAAACAAACCTTATCAATTGCTGTCCAATGTTTTTTGACTGGGCGTCCGAAATCATCTGTTATAACTAAATATCCACCCACCATTTCATAGTTGTCATCTCTTCCTGCGAGTTCTTTACTTTTAGCCTTTAATTAAATAGACGACAATCAGTGCTATTTGACTCATGAATTAATAACGTATTATTATTTTTTTTTTTATACCTTTTCTATTATATCTCTGTATTCTGGGGAATTTACATTATCTAATACTATGAAAATCTAGCCAGAACAATCACCGAATTAGAATTTGTTTTTAGTGTATTCAGTATCGCACGGGTTATGAAAAAACGTAGTCGTTTAAAACAAAGTTTTCTTTTCCAACTCACATTATGACTCTTTTCATACATATTCCTCAAATTAATTGGATTCTGGCTGTCCAACACATATACAATCAAGTTAGGATGATTTGATAAATCAAAAAATCTACTGAGATCGATGTCTCCTCCAAAATTCAGTAAAATAATCGCTCGTAACTATCTTTGGCGCAAGTGAAAGAAAGAACGCCGTGATGTATCAAATTCATAATTATTATCATGTTATTATATGTCGAATACCGATACGCTCATAATTGCTTGAAATGTCAAGATAAATCAATATATTCACCGATTTGGCAAGAGGACTTGGTTGCTTGTCTCTTATATCGAAATCTTCCGAGTTTCTAATTGGCTTTATGCTCCATATTGTGTGTTTCAAATAAAATAACTTCTATTAATGAATATATGTATTATTTTATTTATTTTTACCAATAAAAAAAAACAAGCCAGTTGTAAAAAAATTCGCAAACCTTGAATATTTCAGCAGCACATATTGCATCCACGTCCGCATTACAGTAAATACGTACGGAAGGATCAAGCAATAGCACACCATTTTCGTCTTGCTGAAATTCCAAAGTTTCAAAAAAATATTGAAAATGTTCCGTCGAACAATACATATTTATAGCATTATCAAATCTAATTAAAATTACGTAGACGCGTTAAAAGGACAAAATTGACGCGATTTATGATACGATTTTTATCTATCGGCGAAAAAACGTTTAAATATTTGACGCGATCGAAATTGTTATTCAAAAATTTTAAATTTTTTTAAAACACGATTATTTTTACCTATTTATAGATTATTGAAATAAACTTTTCCGAATAGGGTCAAGTTACAAATAACTTGCCTATTCGGCAACCTGCCTTAGTTGAAATATAATAGAATAATGGATCACCGATCACCGCAAATTTGTGTTACAAATCTTGAAAATTTTTGAAAACCCAAGCCTGTAACGATACAATACCGAATACCGATACCGTCTTTATAGTCCAGTAGTAAAATGGTATGATAATCTTTATCGTTATGACAGATATGACAGAACTCTGGTATTTACGTAATAAAACCGTTTATACCAGAGTCCTTTAAAAATTTTTTAGTTTCGATATCAAATTTTGGTGCGTTTATGCGTTGTTCAGCAAACTTGTTTCATTATGTTTTGATTGAATGACTTATCGTTATGATTTTGTCATCTCATTTGTAGTTATAAGTTTTTCATTCTTTGTTAAGGAAATTCTAGTAGTGACAAGCTAGGGAATCTGGCTATGAATTCTGGTTCTTTACAAGTAATGTTCGGTTTATTTGTTCCTAACGAAATGGTTCTTGAAATCCTTAAAAAAGTACTTGAGAAGGGAAAGTACGTAATTTTCAAAAAGTATAAAAGATTTGGTGTCTATTAAAAAAAAAAAAAAAAAAAAATGAAAAAAAAGAATAATCCCTTGATAAAACTGTACATTAAATAAATCAAATATTTTATAGAAGTAAACAATCAATACCTAGTAGCTATATGATGTTAATGCGGTGGCGGCTGGTCTGTAGAACATGGAATCAATTAGTTCTTCTGGTATTAAAAGAAGAGATACTACGGACGTTCGTGCAGGAATGGTATTTAGAGGTACATTGATATTAAATATGCATTTTTATTGGATCAAAACCGCATATACACTTATTAAGTTACTTGATAATTAATGCATTTATTCATAATCAATTTCACAGAGTTTCCCATCACCATATACGGATTCAAAATATTATATTTCTAGCGTATATTTAGAACGCCTTAATGGTGGGTTCATTTATTTTAGGGTTTCTGAAAAACCGATTAATCAAACTTTCCAAAACATGGATAATTTGGCCCTTTATAATGAATACGACTTCCCGAAAGTCATTATTAGTTGTTATCCGATGGGGGAGAAGGTCCATATTGCTCGTTCAAGTTCTGCACCTTCATATTATGTTGTAGAAACCGATTATTTCAAAGTTCGCACTATTGATGTGTGCAGAGAACTTGACTATTTTTATGATTGGTTGCATCCAATGTACCAAAATTTATTGAGTGAGAATACGGTCGAGATACCACCGACGATAGTCGAAAATATAATTGGTGTGAATGAGAAGGGTAAAAGTATTCAAGATGCTGATATTAATTTAAAAGAGGTTAATATTGGTGATGAAAATGAAGGAATCCGGAACAATGCTGACGAGGCAGACGAAAATGAGTCGAATTTGGAAGTTTATAAAGATGCTGAGACGTATGAAAGTGAGGCAGATACTATCGTTGGTAGTGATGTTGAAGGGTAAAGAGTTAAGATGAATCTTGACTAGATATTCTAATTCAATTTTGGGATCACAAAAAAAAAAAACATACAAATTTATTTCATGCATGGATGAGAAATTTTATTCCAACATGTATGCAAACATTATAATGTACTAATATATTAGATCTAAGAATTGTACGTTATATATTAAATAGATATAAAAAAATATTTATTATACGTAGCTATTAATCGTAAAAAATGTATTTGTGCGCAGATATTAGACTATTTGATTTACTGCGGTCAATACATGTATTTAGGACTGGGTCGCGTGATTTTGTAATACATAACCAAAAGTATAAAAGCATCTTTTATCTATTAAAAAAAAATATATACATGGACCCACCAACTTTACCTCCTGAAGAAGTTATCCCATTAATAGTAAGGTTAGTTATTTATCTGTAATTACCCTTCAACAGTTCTTAAGATTTAATATTATTTCAAAGCTGTTTTATCATATTATCTAACTTTGAATAATAAACTAGTGATTCAATGTTGTCTAGTGTGGATACAATTTATTATGATAGATGTTTAATTTTAATTATATGCGATCTGAGAAATGTATATAATAAAAAATAGATTTCATTGAATAGCATGATTCTTCTTCCTTTTTTCGTACATGAATTGTGTATTTAGTCAATTATGTGAGTATGGATATACACAATTGGCTCAGATTGTTGCTGAACAAACGGATAGCCCGGTGGACTTGACACCAAGTCCAAAATTATCAGAGTTACTTTATATTGCGAAGGAACAAGGTATTTTTTTTTTTCGATTTAGTACTTTTGTGATATTTTATCACTATAGTCTTATCTATACATAATGAATAGATGAGGGTGATGAAATGAGACCATGCGAAATGCCCGAAGAAGACCCTGATTCAGGCGATAGTAGTCAAGGAGACGATGGAGTCTATCATTCAAAGTATTTGACACATGTTGATCCGGAGACTAGAAACGGTATTAGTATAATTTCAATTATATCATTTCGAGAACTTACTGAATAACTTATTTGATAATTTCCGCGTCTTTAATTGATAGTTCCTAAACCGATTCCAAACTATTCAACTTGGTATATGACAACTCATCGGGCTGCTTCCACATGTGCAATATTTAGTGGAGATGGTATTTGCTATTCACATGACGTACGCATGGTCACAAGGGATAAACTAGAAAACGTATATAAACTCTCGATTTTTAGGAAAATATGCCGCTACCGGATCTGCGGATGCTTCTCTTAAAGTTCTTGATACAAGTAAAATGAATAGCCGTTCAGATGAAGATAGGCCAGTTATAAGGACCTTGTATGACCATCTTGCTGTAAGCATTTTTATTATTATTATTATTATTATTATTATTATTTTATTTTATTTGTAAATTATCAATTGTTGTTTTATTTGTCAGGGTGTAAATGATTTATCATTCCATCCAAACGGTCTTGTTCTTGCATCCTGTTCTGATGATCAAAGTATTAAGCTATTTGACCTATCAAAACCTGGAGTTAAACGATCATTTCGATATTTACAGGTGTGTTTATTTATTCTTATATACTAGTTAATTTAGCTTCTATTATCAACAATATTTACATAATATTTACATACAACTAGGATACCCATGTTGTTAGATCGATAGCCTTTCATCCATCAGGAGATTATATACTAGCAGGTTGTTCTCTTTTAAGTTTATATCACTGAATTTTATATTTCCAATTATACTAAACTTGAATATTTTAAAGGAACCGACCATGAGTCTATAAGGGCTTATGACGTTAAAAATTTTCAATGTTTTACAGCATCTACTTCACCAGGTGATCTTCATAGAGGCGGTATTACAAAGGTAAGATTATGCATATTCAGTTGCATTAGCTCTATGGAAATTATAATAATATCTAAATTTGATAGGTTAGATTTTCCACAAATGGTTCTCAATTTGTTACGTCTTCTCTCGATGGTAGCATAAAAATATGGGATACTGTTACTGGTCGATGTGTTACTACAATCGAGAATGCGCATGATGGCGCCCCAGTCTCAAGTGCCAGGTTTTCAAAAACCGGTAAATTTATTCTTTCCGGTGGAAGGGATTCTGTAGCACGGTTATGGGAAGCTATTAGCGGGAGATGTATCTTACAGTATGAAGGTGCTACTCACAAGGTATTTTATCTTTTATTTATTATTTTTATTTGCTTTTGTAATTTTTAATTGTTTTTCAATATTCTCATTACCCTTAGAATAATACATTAGAAACAACTTTCTCTTATAATGAGGATTACGTTCTCAGTAGTGATGAAGTGAACCCTACTGTCGTATGTTGGGACTCACGCACTGGTTTATTGCTCAAACGCTGGGGAGGTGAGTTTATCAATCTATCAGCAGATCTTGATTTCATTAATTGGATATTTCGCAATTAAATATATCTGAATTATAGGACACGCAAGTACTATCCGATGTATTGCCGCTTCTCCAACAGAACCTGGATTTATTAGTTGCAGGTATTTTCAGCATATTGATTTTAATTTTCGCCTTAATCAATATTTATTAATCTTATATTTTAAATTATTCAAGCGATGACTTCCGAGTTAGGTAAGTATTATAGTTAATATAATTTTTCAATTGATATTTTAACCCATTTTATTTATTTAGGTATTGGAATTTAGATTAATTGTCCGAAGCGAAGCGTAGGACATTTTACTTCTACTCCAATCCATGCAATGTTTGTTAAAGATATTCAATCGAAATTCTTTATAAG